TGTTTAAGTAAAGTTATGAGATAGTTAATCAGGTCTATCTACAAAAGGATTCAGTGACTGAGAGCGCTTTAGTCATTAGTGACAATACAGTTTTGATAGAATACTTTTCAAGTTCATGTTCTGTTTCAAAAAGATATTCTGCTTTTATGGCTTATAAATTTAAGAATGTATTTTTTTATTACAGGGAGAAGAAAATGAAAATTCAGGATATTAAAAACAATATTAAAGAAGCTATAGAGGTAAACTTACGAGCTATTGTTTTTAACTATTCAAAGCTAGCTATTTAGACACTCTCCGCAATTTTTTTTTTTTTCTTTACAGACAATAGTGACAGCAATGGGCAATTTGGCACCTCCAGTTGAACTAGCCAATCCCGAGAACCAGTTTCGAATCGACTACATCTTAAATTTAGCCAACCAGATAGACTTTGATTTCCCACCGGTAAGTAAATAATTGGAGTTGGCTGCAGTCATGCTTTTTTGCAAGCGATTATATTTCGCTGCACTGTAGTAAATATTTACAAAAAACAGTGAGCTGCTCTTTTGGGAATTACTACAGTAGGTGTCTTTGGTCAGTGCTAATCAAATAAAGTATGTAGCAACCCAGCTAGAATATTCAGGCTGATCCTTTATGAACACAGAGACCCTTGTCTCCTTTCTTGTGCTCTACCGAAATAATCAGCTACAGTTAAGATGGGCAGTGCTGGCAGTAATGTTTGGATGTTGTTGGGAATCGCCCTGCCCAAAAGGGGTGAAGATATGCACAGCAGTTTGTTGATGATTTTTCTCTTTTGAAAGAATAATAGAGTTTTCTTGCCGATTCAGACATGTTCTCTGACAGCTGTGTCAGCCAGATTTTCTGCAAAGGCTCCACATACTAGGTCCTTGCCCCAGCCCTCCCAGTCCTAGTTAATCATTCAAAATGCCAGCAGCCCTAGAGTAAATGCAGAAAGTATAATTATTTGTTTGACGGTATATCTTTGTGCCCACTCATTGTGATCAATTTCTACTGTATCTCAACCAGGCTAGTAGCAGAAGTCCATGAAAATACAGTTTGCAAACACTGAACTCTTAAACACTGCGAAGATATTAATTACCATGAAGTACCTTATACTTGCAGTAATACAGGAGTGTTTCAAAGTTTGTATTCTCTCTCTGTGCGCTGTTCCAGAGGGCTGAGGGTAGGAATTATGATGATGTATCATCAAAATCATGATCCATTTACAGCAGAATTTTGTTTCCAACAGCAGTCAGTCCCAGGTGCTTGAAAGGAAGGTGCAAGTGCAAATAGTAGTAAGATGTGGGGTAGTTTGCACCACAGCAAGGTTTTCGTAACTCTGATTTCTAAACATTATTGAACAAGCTAGTCTGTGAAACCAATGACAGTTACCTTTTGCAACTGTTGCTGCTTCTGGGAATTTCTCTGCTTTGGTCAACCTTTATTAAAAGAAAAAACCAAACAACCAAAACCACATACTTTGTGTACAAGGCAGAAGTCATATGCTATTAGCAATTAATTGGAAATATTGGCATTGTAATCTTCAAATCCAGTCATTTTCAAAGTTCAGCAGGCACAGACAGGTTGATGGAGAGGGGGATGTATGATTCTTCTGTAGCACGTAAAATGTATTATTAGTCATTTTAGCTTAAAGAATCTTAAATAAATTAGAGATTTTGAGATTTTTAACTTGACAATTCTTTAATTTTGACACTTTTCAGTGTTATTCATAGGAACATTTGGTCCCTTCATGGGTGATCTCTTCTGCTAGGGGGGCAAAAAAATTCGTACTTTGAAGATAGTTTTAGGAGAATATTCGAGACAAAAGGCAGAGGCTCCTTACTCCACCCTGTGTGCTCTTGAACTGGCTGCATGCCCGCAGCTCTCCTACTGCCCATTGTTTTGTGATACTTCAGGTTGTGATCTGTAACAATGCTGTAACAAGTTCCTGTGACCTACCTCGTACTGAAATACTTGATTTTCCTTGTCTCTTCTGTCTCAGAGGTTGTTTTTTTTTTTTCTTCCATTCAATTGGAATGCGGTGATTTTTTTAATTATTTTTTTTTTCCTCTGAAAGCAAGGGTTAATCGTGTAGTGGTAAGTGAATAAGCCAAGTGTGTATGTTTTACATTAATTTTTATATAAAAACCAGTTAATATTCGGTACGTTTTAGCTCTGGTAGGATACATGGTAGCAAGCCCTTGATGTCTAAAGTAATAGAAATATACTTACCAGGTCCATAAATAATTTCAAGTTCAGTGAAGAGTCTTTGATGTGTTGAATGACACACAACTTCAGAAATAACAGTGCTCCAATAAAACTAGTTTTTCTTCTCTGAGCAAAGGTATTGTGTTAAATTTTTAAGCTCTGACTCTACAGAGGTTTAGGCATGTGCATAACTTTGACTAGTGGCTAGCTTCAGTGGCATGATTAACTATTTCATACATAAATGTTTGTAGGGTTGAGGTTTTAACCTGGATATACATTAGCCACTAATTTTGAAGGAGTATTGTTGGCCCTCGGTGATTATATAAGCTAATATGTATCTGATTTCTGAGTTTGTCTGAATGTAGGTTATAGTCCTTTGCTACGTGGAAAAACTGAACCTGCATTTTGATTACGTATTTTAAATCAAGTTAAGATCTAGAATGTCCCTAGATGCCAGCTCTCAGTGCATAGTATCAAAAATACATGATCCTTGGGTACCTCTGTAAAAATAATTTTGATTTTGTTATAGATTAAATAAAAGTACTTTGAAGAAAAAATAATTTTCTGTAAGTGGAAAGGGTAGCCTTATGCTAGTTATGCTTTATATCTAAGGAAATCTTGATTATCTACTTTCTCCTCCAGTACTTCGGTGGGAGAATTTCATAAACTGGCAGCTAAACCTTTTCCTATGTAGCATATTAATGCAGAAGAAGGGAGGGGAATTTCTAGCCATGTTAGCGATATGTAATGCTGCCTATTTTGAGTTGTAGAACTTGCTTTCTGTCTCTTCCATTTTCTTCATGGGGAATCATATATCAGCTGTTATGAAGACATGCTTTCCTCAGTATAGTATTTGATGCTGCTCTCCTCTGCCATAGGAAGAACAAGAAGGCAGGGAGAAAAAACACTCATATACCAAGGAGATATTATTTGAGGGCTGTGAGTACTTAGCGCCATACTCTTTTAAAATACAAGGCCGTTTTGCTTCCCTTTAAGTGCCCATTCATCTTTTTCTAAACATTAATTAATAAGCTCTCCAGAAGGCAATGCACAGACATACAGAGTTTAGCACTAGGATTGTGTAATTTCTTCTCCAACCACAGGACATCTTCTTTAGAACATAAGAGGCCTCATCCTTCTTCTGTACGTGAAGGAGTATTTTAAATGAAGTTTAAAGTACACACCAAAGTCTGTGTTTATAATTACCTGTTGTACAGGTGGAGCTAGAATTCAGTTTTCCTAACAGCAAGGTTCAGTGTAACGTGAAAGGCAGAAGAAAGTAAAGGAAGAATGTAGGACCTTTACAGTGTGATGATAGTTTAGGGGTCTGGCTCTACATATCTAGGATTCAAAGTGCAACTTCTGTATCCTGATACTCTAATTCTTTTCTTAGTCTGTGTCTCCATCTGTTTGCTTTGCAGTTTTTGACTTACAGGAAATGTGTGTCATTTCTGTAGAGTGTATTGTATTGAATTAAAAAAAAAGAAGAAAAAAACAACTGGAGTTAAAAATAACGTTGGTACAGTGCAGTGCTAGATTAAACATTCCCTTTAAAACCAAAAAATTAGTATGTTGGAGATTTATTAATTCAGCACACTTAGTATTAAGCAAATAGATTTCTTGAATACAGATAGTAGCATATGGGGAAAGGAAGAGGGTAGTACTTACTGAAAGGAATTCTGTCTACATAACCATGCTGATGATTTAAAGTATTGCAATATTTAGTAGATCAAATCTGTAGTTCCTTTTGTAGTCCTTCCATGTTGTTTCACCATACTGTATATACCATTGGCAAGAACCTAGAAGAGTTTCACTCTTACAGCCGATAGTCCAATTTGTCTTGTCTTCAGTATGTTTTCAACAGACAGTTTCTAAAATGCAAATTACAAGAAGAAACCCAAACCTATGTGACTGAAGTGAATTGATAAGGGCTAGGAACGTAACCACGCTGAAAACCTGTGGAGAATGCTAATTAGTAATATTCTAGGCAAAACAACTGAGTACTAAGTTCATGGTTTTATGTGAAGTATTTTCTGCCTTAGCTCACTGTGGAATTCTAAAATAGCTTGAGGACATAATATCTCCATGGGTAATGGAGTGCTGTTCTGATTTAGTTTTGCAAAATACTTTGCTTCTTTTGGGGGTAAAATCTATCCTTATTATTACTAGGCTTGTTGCACAGCCTTTTTTTAGAGCAGAGCAGAATGGGAATAACAGAAGTCTAATCAGGTCCACGTAATCTATTGTTAATATGAATAGCACTGATAAATATTGTGTGTAGTATTCTATTGGCATCACTGGGGAAACATTCTTGCTAAAATGACAGGACATTAAATGACTAAGTCTTGCCAAAGAAGTCTAGCCCTACTAGTTTGAATGAACACTGAGAATAACAGAGAGATCATGCTTTCCATAGAGAAGTACTGAAAGCAGAACTCTGTTTTTTCTAAAACACTACAGTACCAATTTTTTATGAAAGATTATTTAAAGAGGACCATTATCATTGCCTTTATTCAAGTTGGGTTTTTATCTTGCAATTAAATTGTCACTGGCCAGCATGACGACTTTAAGCAAAGGAAAAGGAAGTTGAAGTAAGAAAACCTCCAAGTTAATCAAACTGAACTTAGTTGAGATAGGTGAAGCATTTGATTTTAATAATCGAGCTGATTGTGAATGTGCATTAGTTAAAGCCTTAGAAATGAGGTAGTAATCTTTCTGTGTTGATGTATTGGTACAGACCTGAAGGTACACATGTAATTACTGCTGCTAGGCTTGTGTTTTGAGATAATATCATGATAAATAATATTTTTTAAAAAGAAATTTGTAAGCAATTTAGAAATTATAAAATGAACTATGCTCATCATTGAGGTTCTCTAATGAAACAAATAGAAAAGTTGGTTTGCTTGAGCAGTAAATTTGAAAGCTTGCCCAAGTTTGTGCTAGAACTGCTTTTTTAGTTATCTCACACTAGCTAAACTTTGTAGGAGTAAATTTTACTCTTTAATTTTACGTGTAACCAGATTAATACATCCTTTACAGGGACAATGTGGTGTGTAAGAACAAAGACCTCACAAATCAAAATTTCAGGCTGTTTTTACAACTATTCCATCAGTTAAAATGGAAAATAAAAACAAACGATGCTTGTAGTTGAGGCTTCCAAATGGCATTTCTGTCACTATTGTCCTTTGATGCATTGATACACAATTGTGTGTATGTTTTCAATGTCAGAAATCAAC